GGGCAGTTCAGTTAAGACAATACAACAGTTTATAACTTTATTACTTGGGAGCAATAGACCTTGCCTGTAGGAATTACTCTAGAGGGGGAATATCAATATAGTTTATAGATAAAGGTAATAACTTTATTAAAGAAATAAGGCTATCCATTAGGTTTTTGTTCTTAAGAAATTTTTTTACACTTTACAGAAATTACTAACTAAAAGTTAGAAAGAGAGAGGTGTCTGTGACTTGCTTGACTTGAGGAAATTCTTGGGGTTTATATATCTGTTAACAATCATTAAAACTAAGCATCAAGGCTTAATAATTATTAGAGCAAAGCTTCAGACATCAGGTGTCAAACAGCAAGTATCAAGCATTAAGCATCAAGCATTAAGTGTCAAGTGTCAAGCATTAAGCATCAAGTGTTAAGTATTAAGCATTAAGCATTAAGTGTCAACCCTGTAATTGATTTGTTCTATCTAATATAACTAAATAATAATAATAACTAATGCTAATAATAAGAAGAAAAATAATAATAATACTAACAGTTTAATAATAAAATATATATTCATGAAACTATACTAAAATATAATAAAAAATTTGTTCTATAATATTTCCATCCCTTTAAAAAATTTGCTCTGCAAATTTATCTTCTAAGTCTTTAATCAAAGAAGTAAAAGCTTTGTCTGTAAGCCTTACAACTTGTGTAGCAGCCAAGTATTTTGTCTGGTAGATTATAGCTTTTGGTCGAAGAGTAAAAATCTTTTGAATATGATGAGATCTTTTCCAAATGTCTTGAGCTTTGTGAGCACCATTGGTTTCCTGTATTCATTTTTTAATCTGTTCCTGGTTAGATTCATTTTCTTGAATAAGGGTTCCCAAATAATAGTAAGCTTCAAAAGTTTTGATCTGATTTTCTCTTGACTTGGCATGAGTAGAAAGTTTTTTCAAAATATTATTAAGTTTTTCCTTCCAAGTTGTTTCTTTGAAAGATGAGATTCGAGAGGCTTTCTGAAGTTCAAGAGTTTGCATAAAGTCTTTCTTTATTTTTGTAAGAGGATTTTGTTTATCTAACTTTTCTTCTAGAATAAAAATTGAATTATTAATTAGTTCATCTAAACTTTCAATGAGTTAATCGATTTCACTTAAAGTTGTTTCTTTAAACTATAATGAAATATCGATAACTTGGTCCGGCACTTGGTCATTCCATAGTATTACATTTTTGGGAGAAAATTTCTAAATTGTATTGAGTAGCAGGGTCTTGCTTTCAAATAGAAATAAAATTTTGTAAGACCTGAATAGTGTTAGGTTGCAGAATAATAGTATTCATTTTTAAATAACCAAATTGTTAATTTAGAAAAATTTGCATGATTAGGTTGTCTATATATATATTTTTAAAGTAATACGAGATTTTCAAAATGTTTTTCATTGTGTTACTTCCTTCCAAATTAAATTTCTTCTAGAAATTTGCTAAGTTTCAACAACAACTATTGGTTCTCAAGTCTGTTTCTCATAATATTTTGCTAAGTGATCACTATTATAATAGTTTTGTAAGATTTTTCCTTCTTTATTTCGTAATTTATAAGTGCCATTTCCTAATTTCTTGTGAATTATAAATGGTCTTAGTTATTTATTTTCAAATTTTGCTGATCTTGACATTTCTAGTTCCTTTCATTGAATCCATACTTTGTCACTTACTTCGATTTTTGTACCTTAACTTTTGCATCGAAGTATTGTTTCTGTTGCAAATTATTAGTATTGTTTTTTGCATTCTCTTGCTATTAAGGCAATTTGTCTATTAGCTTATAAGCTCTATGTAGAATACTGTCTTGTAAGTTAATACTTTCACTACTTTCTGGTAGTAGTTCAACAGGTATTAAAGCTTCAATTGGCAGTATAGCTTGTTGATCATAAATAAGTTGAAATGGAGTATATTTAGTAGTAGCATGTTTCTTTGTTCGATATACTAATAATATAGCAGGAATATGAATATCTCAATCATCTGTTTCTTTCACTTTAGCAAGTAATTTACAAAGTGTTCAGTTAAATCTTTCAACTATACCATTTGTTTGTGGATGGTATGGTGATGAAAATTTATATTTAATTAGAAACCTTTTGCATAATATGCAGATAGTTTCACTAATGAAGTTTCATTCTTGGTCAAATAAGATAATTTTTGAAGTTTTATGTTTACAAACTATTTTTTCAAAAATAAATTACACTAGTATAGCAGCACTAGCATCAGGCACAGCTCAGGCTTCTGGCCATTATGTTAGGTATTCAGTAGCAACAATTATATAGCAATTATTTTGTTTAGTAAGAGAAAGAGATTCTACTAAATTAATACCAATTCGTTCAAAGGCTTATTCTATTTGAATAAGATGAAGAGGTTCATTTCTTCATCCTTTTTGACATTGTTAACATTCTGTACAAGTATGAACATATTCTTGTACATCTCTATATATTTGGTCCCAATAATATCATTTAGCAATCTTATAATATATAGCATCTGTTTCTAAATGTTTAGCAGTAGGATGTTTATGCATCATGTATAGAATAAGTTCTACTTTAGTCCATTTAATAACTCTAAGAGGATGAGTAGGGTCTTTTCTATTCTTTTTATATAATAGTCCATGCTTTGTTTCAAAATGTCTGGCTTGTCTAATTAG